CATCAATACCACTGTTCTGCATCAATACCACTGTCTGCATCAATACCACTGTTCTCAATACCACTGTCTGCATCAATACCACTGTTCTCAATACCACTGTTCTGCATCAGTTCGGATTTTCAGAGGTCCTGGATGCAATGTCATTTTTTGACGCGATGATGTTGGACAACTTGGTCAAGAAAATGCCAATACTCCTTCCATTCAGGGACAATGAAGATGGCCTTGGCTTAAAGGGGGGGTTGACTGCTTTTTTTCTTTGCATGATTGTGTTTATGGGGTGCAATATAACATGTATTCGTGGTTTTTCTTTTTTAAAAAGTCTTATTTTTTATAAACTTCACCTTTATTGTCAGCCGCGCTCTCCTCTGTCCTCGAACGAGCGGTTGACTTCATGATTCTATGAAACCACTCCCTCAGAAACACGTAGTGGGCTCAGATTGGTTAGTTTGGCCCGGTGTGTTGTAATTGGCTAAACTGTCGCTCACGTTGTCCGGAAGGATAACGCCCATTACCTTTACGAGTGAAATATGCATGTCATGAGCTCCGGTCCAGATGTAAATATGTGTCGAAAGCGGCGATGAAGAGAGTCAAACAGAACCTCACCACACACGGCTCTTACTAAACGTTTCTGAATGATAATTTGCTCCATGTTTTAACTTTATACACATTTTTTTTACACAATAGCATCTGACTGGCAACAATAGCAACTGACTGGCTACTATGTTATATTCAAACAGCGCTGGCAAGTTTATGTTCTTGATCAAATCGAAGATAACCTCATAAAACATATACATGAAAAATACATTTACAAAATTAGTCCCTATACAAAATTCAGGTTCATAATGTTTGTACCCCTTTGTCGTAGACACAAAATAGCATAACTAGTTGCCTAGTGCCTATAAAGCCAGCGCTGGCATTTGAAAAAAATAAAACACAAGGCTGCGTCTGGAATTATACATGCAAATACATTTAAAATGATGAAGTCTTAGCCTACTTACAGGTTGTGGCCCAACAACTGCTGCCTCTGGTTTTAAAGTTGGAACTGCTTCATGTTTTAGTCACAGTTTCTTGTTGAATCCGGTGTTGAACTCGTGGAGATTCTGGAAGCTGTCTTCCGTAAATGCTCAGTGCAGAGAGCTAGATTACCATTGTCATTTTCAGGAACATAATCAAACATAAATTGTATCCATTGTTGACGAAGTACATGTACGTCCGTGGGAAGCCCGAACACAGAAGACCTAACAGTTGGGTGAACACACTCGACGTGCCACAGAAATATGCGCATGCCATTTTCTGCATATTCAGAGGGAGGGTTGATGCAAATTTGTGGGTTAGTGACATCTAAAACCCAACTGTAGTCCCAATCGGGTCGTTTTTGTAGGCAATATACTTCCTGATTTTTAAAAGACGATATCTCTGCTTACACTGAACTTTCAGCAAAGCATGAAGACATTGAGAGGTTGAATTCATGTATATCCATAGTCCAAGACAGATAAGAATGTTGCACTTACTTGTATTTTTTTTGCTTCAAAAGATAAACAGGACTTCATTCTAAAGAAGAAACCTAACTTAAAAAGTCAGTTTATTAACCAAATCTTGGACATGCTTTGTGAAAGACGGGGATGGATCAATAGTAATAGTTGAAAAATGTTAAAAGCAGATTGTAAATTTGTGATTGCTTGATCTAATGTGGACCCAGAATAGTATTATCAGCATATAAATGAGAGTTTGTAGTTTTTATTTTATTGCAGAGGTTATTTGTATGAATATTAAAAAGAAGAGGCCCAAGGATTGAGCCTTGAGGCAACCCCTTTTTAAAATATTTAGGGAAGCAGAAGTGAGGCCATCTACTTGCACACATTGTGTTCTCTCCGATAAGTAACTATTAAACAATCCCACTGCTTTTCTTATAGTCTAATAGAGATGAGTATTTGAAGAAGTATTTTATGGGCCACTGTGTCAAAAGCTTTTGAAAAATCAATAAACAGTGCTGGTTATTATCAAAGATATTAACCAGGTCATTGACAAGTTTTGAAACAACTGTTATTGTACTGTGTTGTTTTCTAAAACCAGATTGAAATTCATTGAAAATATTTTAATTATTAACTAAACAATCTTTAATTTGCATACAGATGAGTGATTCCATTAATTTAGCTAATACTGACAATTTAGAAATATGCCTATAATTATTTATGTTTGCAGGATCACCACCTTTGTGAAGGGGGAGCATATTGGCAGATTTCCAAATGGCTGGTACTTGATTCGTAGCTAAAGAAAGGCTAATTAAATATGCAACTGGGTTGGCTATCAAATCTGCAGCCATTTAAAATTTCATTTTTGTCAATGACTTTTTTGTCATCAACAACAATGCAAGATATTACTGAATCTGAATCTGTTTTTTCTTCTATTAAAAAAATAATTTTTTTCTAGAACGAAAAAGGGTTATTTCAGTTCTTCGATGTTTCAGAAAGGAAAAAAGCAGATTTAGCATTACGGATTTTTACAGTGCTTACAGATTACTTAAACGCCGAAATTTCAACCATTCAGACTCAAGTTTTGACTTTCTAGCCTGAAACCAGGCTTTGTTTCGATCTAGAAGAAGGTCAGACAATTCATTATTAAACATTATTTCACCCTTTTACTCTGTCTTTATACTTATTTACCAGGCCTGTAAACCTATCATAAATAAAATGTCTTCTTCCCCAATCAAAACCATACAGATCAAGTAGAAAAACTTTCAATGAGACCTGCTTCATTACCCTCTTAAAGATTATGAGCAGCCTTGATTTAGGATTTTTTTTGTTCCTTACTGATGCTATAAGAAAATGATCGTGAATATCATTTGGGAAAAAAAACAGAGGCACAACAGAGGAAGAGTATTTATGAGGAGCATTTGTAAGAATAAGATAAATTATGGAATATTTTTGGTTTGGTCTAGTGGGGCTATTCACAATCTGAGAAAGATTCAAAGAATCACAAAATGATCAGACATTGGCAAAAGCCAGTTCCAGTTAATCTGCTAAAAAAACTAATTCATTATAATTTAAACTTGTCAATAACTCCCTCAATGTAAAAAAAATGCCACCATCAGCTAAAGGGCTGAACAACCAACAACTGTAATGCGAAGACTCTTAGAAACTTCTAAGTCAAGGGCCAACAACTTAAAGAGTCTGCTTATTGAATGAGACAATCACATTCACAATAAATGACTTCATTCACATATATCGCAAAACCTCCACCCTTTTTAGTCAGTCTGTAATGAATAAGTTGTACCCATCTACAGAGAGATCCTTATCAGAAATAGAGTTGTTAAGCCATGTTTCACTTCAAACAAAAACATTAGCATTGGTTGAAAGTGCTCAGATATGAACCACATGTATTTTGCCAACCAGACTATGAACTTTCAATGAATATTCTAATTAATGATCTTGCATCACCACATCTTAAACAATGTGTGACTTTCTGTAAGGAAAGGCCGACTGTTGAGTTAGATTGAAGAAAACTGTCTTTGGGACAATCAGCTTTTTCCATTTAGAGCAACAGAAAGATGGAATTCAGTACCTGTTGATATTAGAAAGCATACATCATTTAGCGTTTTAAATAAAAATCACTCTCCTAACAAAGCAAAGACAACTTTCCACCTTTTGTTGTTAGTGTGCACAGTGTTGAAAACTTTGAATAATGAACCATTTTATGATACAGTTGAGGAGAAAGCCTCAAAGCGTTATTTCACCATAACTAGTAGTTGCAGTGAAAATCAATTAAGTTAAAATAAATAAAATAAACTATTATATGCACACAAGCTTTTGGCTATGCCAATAATTTGACACAAAACGCCGCAATCTTTCTCTGTCCAACTCCCTCTAAGAGCTCCTTCAACACTCTGAGAGGCCCTTTTAAAAAGGCCAAGCCCCTCCTATTTGGATTAAACCATTTAGTTATTAAAGGTAATTAAGAAATCAAGAAAGACAAAAAATGGTATTTAACAGTGTTATAATAATTGAAAATAAAAAATTCATAAACATTTGAATCAAAACAAAATCTATTAATTAATAATGTTCAACCTAAAATTAAATAGATCACCAATCTCCCCCTCATACATGAGAACAATAGACTGTGCCTTCTATTGGCGGGAATGAGATAGTGAGGGAAGTTCGGTTCCTTTCCACCAACCGGAAAAAAAAATAAATAAATAAAACGGTTCACCAGTTCTTTTACATAATGACGTCACTTCTATCACCAAGGCAGATAAACAATACATTAAAATAAAGTAATTTGTAATCATAAATTCGTCCCATCATTCAAGTCCTCAGTTCACCCGTGTTCATGTATCATTACAGCATTACTTGTGCGAAAGAAAGGTTGATTCAGACGGTGCTATGGACGCATTGGTTGACTCGGACGCATGCTCAGTGTCTCCAGCTCATCGGTTCTCCATATCAAACGTGTCCAAAAGAAACAGTAGCAGTGTGTGTAATTCTGAGCTGAGAACTGCTGAAACCTGACACAGTCAACAAAGCTAAAGTCGAAGCATTTCTCCAGTGTTTCATACGTTTCTACGGTTTATGTTTCTTAACATTTAAGTTTGAATCTATAATCATACCTATGGATTTGACATGCTCATTATATTATTGCTATAAATGCTCAATATTAATATTTATTGTTTGCCATTTAATAAAAATGTCTGGTTGATACTCATAAGTTCTTTTAATAGAAAAGTACATTCCCACAGTTTTATATATGTTAGGAGTAACTCAACTCAACTCAACCTTTATTTATAAAAGCACTTTCAAAACCATTAGAAATGGACCAAAGTGCTGTCCACAGGCAATAAATAATACACAGAGATATAAAATTACATCAAGACATGTCACCCAGATAATCAACCCACAAATCGCTCACAGTTCTCGGACCTACTCAAATGCCAAAAGCTTGATGAAATAAATAAGTCTTCAAATCCTTTTTAAAAATGTCCGTGCTTGACGACGATTTGAGAGATAATGGCAGCACATTCCAGAGTGCAGGAGCCGCAACGGAAAAGGCTCGATCTCCACTACGCCTCAGGCGAGACCGAGGGACAGTTAGAAGCATTTTCTGCGAGGAGCGTAGATGGCGTTGAGACTGAAGCAGGCTTAACATGTCCTTTATATATTCAGGAGCTAGATCATGTAATGCTTTGAAAACAAAAAATAACACCTTATATTGTATTGTGTATTTAACAGGTAGCCAGTGAAGAGATATCAATACGGGTGTTATATGATCACGTTTCTTGGTATTTGTTAAAAATCTCGCCGCAGCATTTTGGACACGCTGAAGACGGCCAACCAGTGAATCACTTATGCCTAGATATTATTATTGTTATTATTTGCGGACACGGACCCAAAACACATCGCATCTTCTAAGTCAGGTGACTTTAAATGCGCAAAACCCAGTTTCCATTGCAGTTTTGCGAAATATTCCCTTTCCGAAGTGCCTGAAAAACCTCCTCATGCGAACGTAAAAACATTTTTGGGATAAACGGGAGTTTTTGCGAAATTGACGTGTTTCCATTGTGCATATTATTTTCATTTCACAATTTCAATTTGCACAATTTGAAGGCTAATGGAAACGCGGCTAATGACTTAAACTCACTGTCTGTCCATAAAGGGGTAGTCAGTCGAACTTTTCAGTTGTGGAAACCAGCTTAGCATTCCTTCTAACCATTTTGTAATGTTTCTTTGTTACCACACAAATAAACACTAAAACAGAGGCTACACTTGTTAAAAAACAATGAACTTGATCTGGTTGCAGATTTCCTGGGTCACGACATCAGTGTTCACCGCAACTTCAACAGATTACCAGTTCCCACAATACCACTGGCTAAGATTTCCAAACTCCTTTTGTCAATGGAGAAAGGAAACCTTTCCAGCATGCAGGGAAAGTCACTGGATGAGATTGAAATTGAAGGTTTGTACAGAAATTAGCCCTTGTAGACATTATATGAGTGTTTGTTTTTTTTTTACTTTCCATGTTAATTTATTAACATCTAGACTTGGTGTAGTCAGCATCCTTTTCCAAGAAAAAAAAAAAAACACCGTCTGGACAGTAACTCAAAATTCGATTTATGTTAAATGTTCAGTCGATTTATGTTAAATATTAACAATATCATATTGTGTAATGGATTGTTTTATCGTATGTGGTCATGGACCACATTAAACATAAACGAGTTTAATAGCTCAAAACTACCCAGTTACTTTGCAAAAAGTGGTAAGTTCAAAACCACAGGCCTACTATCTTTTCCCTATAGTATTTTTATTTGATGTGGCTATTTCAACCACAAATTTTTATCTCTAGCTCTTTATGTGAGTTTTACCAGAGCTGTAAAGTATTTGAGTAAATGTAATTAGTTACTGTAAGTATCAATCTGTACCCACAGTATTAGTATTAAGTATATTTTTGGCTACTTTGATCCTCAGTAGCCTACAACTACAAAGATATTAGCTTTCACTTTTACTTGACTACATTTTTTAATAAGTAAATGTACTTTTTGCTCCAATACATTTGTGATGTGTAATGCAATTACATTTTGCATGCCATCTAACTTTTTCTGCAGCAGTTTGTTTTTGCTATAAAGAAGTGATATTTCCATCTAAGTGGCATTGACTGAGATATATCTTGTTCACTCTCACTCCCACAAATATGTCAACAACAATACTTTACATGAATGCGAGTGCATTAGTAGGTGCTAAATCGCAGACATTTGATTTAGGAGATGAGGTCATGACCAGCACATTCGGTGCAAGTAGACTTTGACTATTTAATTTTACTTAACATTAATTTATTTATCCAGTATATTGACAAGGTCTTTGTCTCTCAGGTGTTAAGGACTTGTGCATCTTTGAGCCTAAATTTAGTAAAAGTAAAATACTGAAGTACTGTTAAAATCAGCTACTCTTTAAGACTTTTACACCAGTCTTATTGAAATTGGTAACTTGTAATAGAGTAATTTTTGCTGCAGGTATCTGTGCTTTTAGTCAAGCATGGTTTTCAGGTACTCTTTATACCTGAGTTTTACTAATGGCATTTTCCAGATGAGATTGTTAAATGACGCTGAAGACAGTGAGAGCGAATCTGATGACAGCAACACCGATGTCACAGCATTAGTGATTGGAACTGCACAGCCTAGGCTTTAGGGGAGGCTTTAGCTTCAACGGCACCATTTATTTTCAACTATTACATATCTTAAATGCCATCTTTTTAATGAATGAAAGCCAGTATCACTAATATTATCTTGATATCTCGATGAAAATTATTTTCCCAATAATTTTAAATAAAAAGCTTGAAAAAATGGTTATGGTAATGGTTATAAAAGGTTATAAACCAGTCTGCCCTGCATACATTATAAATGAAATATAGATTAATCCTTATCAAAGCTACAAGCATTCTTTAGTCAAGTGCAGTTACAGGGTTGCCAACTCTCACGCATCTGGCTTGACACTCACGCATTCAGCCTCAAACTCACGGTCTCACGTTCAACAAAGAAATCTCACACTAAATTAGACATTCTTCTGTGCTGTATTTTTTATTTTTTTGTATTACTATAAGCAAGTTCAGGCTTTTAAAGGGATTTAATTTTTGATATGTTTTATCTTACCTCAAGGGCATCCGAGATGTAGGTGTCTTTGTTTCCACAGTATTTTCAATTTTGACATTTTTCAGTCAAACCGTTGTTGTCTATCAGTCATACACTGGATGAGGGTCCACCAAAAAGCAGCAGCACAGAGAAGTCAAAATTAAACATGATTTAATGGCTCGTACATGTAAGTACACATTGATGGAATAAGACACGAAACGAGCGGTTTGTGTGAGAAAACCAACAGTATTTATATCGTTTTAACTCTTGTAATCACAGCCATGACAAAATGATCTGACGGCACGGGCGCTTCGGTCTGCGCATGCGCTGGAAGTGATCGCTTGCGCAGCGACGTCACTCTTTGTTTATACATAGATTTCAGAAGTTTTACCTTTCACTAAACATGTTTAGATATACGGGAAACCGCAATGGAAGACAATTTCGGTATATCTAAATATGTTTAGTAAAAGGTAAAATTTCCGAAATCTCCGTGTAAATATTGAGTGACGTCACACGCAAGCGATCACTTCCGGCGTAACATTGAACTTATTCAGATCACTTGGATTATACGAGGTAAAAACTATATAAATACTGTTCGTTTTCTCATAAAAACTGCTCGTTTCGTGTCTTAGGCCATCAATGCGTACTTACAGTAGGTAGACAACCAGACTGTGGTTTTTAAAAGTTGAGGTGTATTTGCTGCCTTTGGCCGCTAAGAGGCGCTACAATCACAGACTTTGAAAAGTGTCCGTTTTTTGTTTTTTTACTTAATCACAATACTGAAATTAAATTTAAAAAAATTATGAAACCTTAAAACATTGCAGTCGAAACATATTAGGCTACATCAATGAGGCTTTACAATCGTATAAGACAACATTGCTTTATCAGTCTAGCGATAGCGGTGTGGTTAACGCGTAATCCTCAACCTCATTGACCTCCAAACGACGCGAGATCGAACCTCGTTACATGCTGTTGGCCGGCAGCTTTTATGTTTTAGCCTACCGTTCTTGAAGCTTAAATAGGTTGCTGTTTATTAGCGAGTTTATTAACTGTTTATTTACTTAAAGTGTCCGACTTAATTTGCCACTTCTCATTGAGAGCTGAGGCCGCAGATAAATTCAAGGTTAACACTCTAGCCTGTACTTGGGGACGGGTGGGACATGTCCCCACCTCTTTTTGCCAGGGTCGATATTGTCCCCACCACTTTTGAAATCTTAGCTAACCGCATTCGTTTCATTCATCTAGCGCTGAATGTGTTGTCTTCTATTGGACGCACGCTGCAATCCGTTGTGGAGGTTTCATTCGTTCCGGTGAAATCACAAATCAATCCGTCCGCTCAGTTTATAAACTGTAGGCTACTCACGGATTCTTAAACTGTTCCCTCGGTTTAACAATTCGTGCCAACGGATTAATAAACCGTACCTCTCAGATTTGTAAACCGTGCCCTCAGTTTTTGAAATCTGTACCCACAAATTCATAAAACGTGCCCACTATATATATATAGTACTGGATTAAGTGAAAGGATTTAAATATAGAATAAGGATGCTTTGATCTATTCCAGATTTTATAGTCCTGTCTGTAGGAGCTGAACACGCAGCGACAGGTGGGCTATGGGAAATGGAATGAGATGAAGCATCAAATTATTAAATAAGGATGGATATTTGATGAAGAAGTAAAGAAATAATAAAATAAGGAAAATCTGATCATAAGGAATCGTGTCTGCATAACAGCAAAGGTAGGTGGCGATATGCACTAAGATAAGATTGCAATGCGCCAAAAACGAAAGAAGAAGATTGCATCAGCCGCTGCTAGTAATCAGGTTCACCGCAATCACTAACAGCTGAAGACTTGTTTGAAAAGCATTATTGCCTTTCAAGTGGATGTGTCTTGTGTTCGTGTGTGTCCTATAAAGAGTGAGTGTTGTTGTTCCGTAATGTTCGCTGATTTATGCTCGTTATCAGTAATGACGCAGTTAACAGCTGTTCTGGCCATGTTCATTAATCTGTGTCAGTTCTTATAACTTATCTGTCGATCTTCCAAGTTTAGAGTTAAAATATTTATACTGTTATAGTAAATAATGTAGATAAATAATTAAAGTAAATATGATGGAAGTGTTTATCATTGTTATGAGGGGAGCAGCCTATAGTCAGTATGTGAATGATGATTTGTAATGTGTTGCTGTTATTGAGTATTGCTTCAGTGTGTTGCAGAGAAACTACACACTCACACAGTGTTAAATTAACACACACAGAGTTAAAATTAACACCTTATTCTGGGTTTATATAGGTCCACACTAAATAGAGTTAAACTTACACTTTAAATAGTGTTACTTTTTTACACTTGCTTAGTATAAAAAAAACAAACACTGTTAGTATTCACCATTAACACCATTAGTGTTCCCCCCTCATTTACTCTAAGTTAGTGTTGAAACTACACTAGGTGTGTCAATATCTTAACACCAAGAGGTTTATTTCAGCACTAATATAGTTTTCATATAAACCCTGATTATGGTAATTGTGTAAGTATTTGACTAAAAAATGCATGTGTGTGCATTCAGTTAAATCAGTCAACACACTGTATCAGTTTGAAATTTTATTTAACAACAGATGCAACAATTACACCAACACAAATGAAGAGACAACATTCACCATCATCTTACCCAAAACACTGCAGATGAAAAGGCCTGTTGAACTTCAAGCTGTTGGCTTTTACAAGTTCACTCAACTCACAGTCTCTGTACTTTAAATGCATGATAATGTTCTGAAAAATGTTCTGTGAAAAGTTTGTTGACAATAAAATACACAGACTCTCAGAGACTCGCATGAAAGACCAACCCCAGATAGCAAACTGACATTGAATCAACGTGGAAATATGACATCGAAACAACGTTGATCTGACATTGTTTTGCTCATCGAATTAACGTTGAACCAACGTCAGACGCGTCATTCTTTCAAAACTAACGGAAAATCAACTTGAAATCAACGCGTTGTTTCAACGTTATGAAAGCAAACCAATTTTCGATTTTCATTTAGCTTTGAAAAATGCCGCGTCTGACGTTGGTTCGATGTTAATTCGATGAGCAAAATCAACGTTGTTTCAATGTCATGAGAGACGTCGTTTCCACGTTGATTCAATGTCAGTTTGCTGTCTGGGACATCTGTTGTAAACTGGTCTGCATAAGGGTAAAGAAGTTGACCAGGGCTTCCTCTTAGGACAAGTTGAAGACAGTGAAATTAGAAAAGTTTAAAGGCACTCAAGGAGCTGGTTCCAGAGCAGCGATGTAAAAGTGGTCAATCCTGCCATTGATCCTTCCTGATCCCAGAAGAAATGCCTG